ATTTCCTTCAAGACATGCACGCTGCTGGCGCTGGGAACCACAGCGAGTGTGGAACAGCAAAGATGGCCAAAATTAGATTAAAATAACCTCCCGATAAACAGATGACTCACCCCGCGTCCGCGCCGGCCGCCCCGCCGCGGCGGAAACCTGGAGACACAGCGCCACCACGCGGCGGCGGCGGGAACGGCGGCCCGTGGCGCGGGGCCGGCCAGCGCTGGACCCGGGTCCGCTGGCGCCCACCGCGGGGACTAGACTTTGGGGTCAGAGTTCCCTGTGCCCGCCCCCTCCTCTCTGCCGCCCTCGCTGGTGAGGCTTCCCGGCTCACCTCACCCCGGACACCCGGCTGCCTCCAGGTGCCTGTGCAGACCTAGTAAGACCTCCACCCTCCCAAAATGATGCTAACCCCTGGGAAGCGCTGGCTGAGCTCCCTCCTGGCAGCACGCCCCCCCCCCGCCTCCCTCAGGGTCCCCGGACCTGGGGCCTCCAGCAGCGCTGGGCGTCACCCAGCCTTCACCTGTGAAACCGGCCTCGCACCCCCCCACCCCGGAAGGCGGAACACGCGGGCTGTGTTTGACACCTAAGAACTGGACAAGCGGGAGACGTCTGCGTCATCCCTTCAGACCGACAGCGCTGACGGATGGGGCCGGCCAAGCTGTGCTGGGGCAGCGTGGATCCCGGCGGCAGCTCCCAGCGGCAGATGTGGAGCCCGGTGAGGCCGTGGGAAGCAGAGCTTCGGCCATCAGCCATCACCATGTGCCCCCCAGGAGTCACGGTGCAGAAGACAGCAAGGCCGTCACCACGGCGTGGGTCCATCCTTGCCGCCCAGGAATGGCACGGCCGCTTCACCACTGCAGGCTAAGCCGGGACCTGCAGCCTTCTCAGTGGACACTAGGGCGTGGGCAGCTTCCCGGGGAGCCTGTGGGCCTCTCCCCAGAACACACACAGACGCATGCGATCTGTTGATCCCAGGAAAACACGCACACAGACATATGTGCAAAACACGCGTGATCTGTCGATCACACCGTGGCTCGGTCTGTGGAGCTGCAAGACGGAGTCCTAGGAAGAGGCTGGGCAGGGAACCCAGGGCTGGCATGGGGCTGGGTGGGGTCAGAGACCAGAGCGAGGGCGAGCTGAGCGAGTTTAGCACAGGTGGCGCTGGTCCCCAGGTCCGGTGTGTGGTCGGGAGACCAAGGGAGCCAGGGTGCTGGCCACCTGGAGACACCAGTCACCGTTCTGAGGACTCCATGCCGTCTCCCTTGGCATCGTGCACGCCCTGGCGTCTCTGCATTGCCCACTGTGGGGCCAGTGGACGACCAGCAGCCAGGGGCGAGGCCGTGAGGTGCTGAGAAGGCGCTCCTCTGTGTCCCCCGTGTCCCCGTGCACCTGCCAGACACAGCATTAACCTGGAGCCCTGGGACTGTCCTCTTCCTGCCAGACCTCGCATTAGCTCGCTCCTGCCGCTGCCTCCCTCCCTCCCTGCCTCTGCTACCTGGCCTCCCTCCTCCCAGCACTCTCCCCCGCCCAGACTCCTGTAAGCGTCAGTTCCTAAGCCGCAGACCAACCACCCACACCTCCCGGAGGTTTAGGGCGGCCATTTTCTCCTTGTAGGAACTTGACCTTTAAATCTGGGCAGCCAGGGTGACACCGAGCTGCCATGGGAGCCGGCACCAAGCAGGCACAATCCCGTCGGACCTCACCCAGCGCCACTTCCGGGGCTGCGAGTCTGTAACACGTGTTTATGCCTCATGCTTGTGAAGGGAAGCCATGCTGCGCAAATGGACAGAGACGGAGATGGAGAAGGGCGAGAGTGGACAGACACAGAGACAGAGAAAGGGCGAGAGTGGACAGAGACAGAGACGGAGAAGGGCGAGAGTGGACAGACACAGAGAGAGACGAGAAGCAAAGACGGAGCAGGGGCAGTGGCAGGGACAGGACAATGGCCACAGGCTCCTTAGGTGGACTGAAGGAAGAGGGGCCTGCCAGAAGTCACACCATTCCTTCATCACAACTGTGAGACGTCCTGGTAGTGAAAAGCTAAGTATTTTGGGTAAGATCAAGCAGAATTTAGGGCGGGATTTGCCCCAGTTTGGGTGGAAAGAGGGAGACACACAGGGCAGGCCTGGGATTTGGGTTGGAGCCCCTCCCCCCAGCCTGCAGAGGTGGAGACGGAACCCGTGAATGAGCGTGTTTGTTATGGTGCGGGGTGCCGCACCGCCAAGACCGCTGGGAAGAGGCCAAGGACGCCCCAGCTCACTGTGCTGGCCACTGCCCAGGCAGGAAGGAGGGGCAGGACGCTCCCAGGCCACCCCTGGGCCCCTGCCAGCCTCCAACCCCGCACGTCGCCCCACGCAGGGGCTGCGGGAGACAGCTGAGCCTCCCTGCCACCCCGTGCCCTCTCTGTTCTGCCTGCTGCCCGGCCGAGCCTCCCCGACTCCCCCACTCTGCCTTCCTGTTCCCCCTGGGGAGGGCGCCCAGCCAGCCGCCGAGGACCTCAGGTGCCCAGCCCAGTCCAGTGTTTGCTGTCCCGGGAACAGACTGCCCCAAGGCAGTGAATATTTTGTTCTGGCTTCACTTAGACCAGGCACGCTCTCCTGTGGTGCAAGCGCGGCCGGCAAGCGGGGATGGAGGCCAGGGTAACCGCCAGCTGGGAGGAGCCGGCTCCGGGGCTAAGAAGCCGGAGAAACTCTCCGCGGCACCAGTGCCAGCTGGCGGGGTGTTAGGCTGCACACAGAAACTGACTCCCTGCACCCTGGGAGCCACACCAGCACACAGGCCAGGCCCCGGCTTCACCGTGCAGGACCAGGGACGGCCCAAAGCCACAGGAGAACCGCGGGGCACACACCCCGCAGCAGCCCCGGCTGCACGGCCATGGCACCGTCCACACTCGGTCCCTCGTGCCATGGAGCTCTTGGCTCAAGCTGGTAGAACACAGGGGTGACTGCCTGGCATGGCCGCTCTGCACCCCAAGTCTGGGACGGTCTCCACTGTCTAAATGCCCAGCTGTGACCTCAGAATCCTCCTGTCCCCTGTGATGGCACCTGTGCGACCTCCTGGGAGTCCCCCAGAACCTGTTCCCCCGCAAGCAATCAGTGTGTGTTCACCTCCCCGGGGGCCCCGGGAGCCAGGAATTTAAGATCAAGTTTGGGGGGTCAGTGCTGTGGTGTAGTGGGTAAAGCCACGACCTGCAGTGCCGGCATCCCATATGGGCACTGGTTCGAGTCTCTGCTGCTCCACTTCTGGTCCAGCTCTCTGCTATGGCCTGGGAAAGCAGAAGAGGGCCCAAGTCTTGGGCCCCTGCACCCACATGGGAGACCGGGAAGAAGCTCCTGGCTCCTGGCTTCAGATCGGCACAGCTCTGGCCATTGCAGCCAATTGGGGAGTGAACCATCAGATGGAAGACCTCTCTCTCTCCCTCTCTCTCTCTCTCCCTCTGCCTTTCTTTCTCTTTGTGTGTAACTCTGATTTTCAAATAAATAAATAAATAAATCCAGCTGTTGTGGCCATTTGGGGAGTGAACCCGCAAATGGAAGACCTCTCTCTCTCTCTCTCTCTCTCTCTCTCTCTCTGTGCCTCTGCCTCTCTGTAACTCTGACTTTCAAGCAAATAAAATGTTTAAAAATAAAAAAAGATCAAGTTTGCAAGAAAGACATTGCTGTGAAATGCCGATCAAGGCACAGGGGCTGGGGGCCTTGGAAGCCTTCAGTGGGCTCCAGCCTGTGGATGGCAGTTTTGACCTCCTGGGGGATGAGCATTTGTGTGCTACGACCAGGGATAATGATGCTGGCCTTGGGTGGGTGTGGCTGAGTGCTGCGGTTTATGTATCAGACCCTAGCAACAAGGAATTCTCCAAACTCCAGGGGCCCAGGGGCGAGAAGCCCGGAGGACACTGCCGTGCAGACTGAGTGAGAGGCGGAGGCCTCCCGCCCGACTCTCCCGTTAGGAGTGGGCGACCTCAGCCAGCACCCACTGGGACGCTGAAGCCTGTCCGTGGCCCCGTGAGCTCCTGCCCGTCAGTGCTCCCCGACACGCTGCATCGAACGCCAGCTGTCCCAACTGAGTGGCAGGCAGCAGGTAAACAGGGAGAAGCCAGTTCAGTCCCAGAAGGACCAGTCTCCTCCCCTAGGCCCCTGCTCGCCGCCCTCGCGGCGCCGGCACGTGGATCCGGCCAGTTCCATGAAGCAGGTGAATCCAGGTTTCTTCGCGTGCTTGGGTCTGTCACAGGCAGCACCGTGTGACCGCCCCTCTCTGGGCTCATGGTTGACAGAGATGTATGGTTGGCAGGGGATGTTTCTAATTTTATTTATTTATTTATTTGTGAGTTTCATTAAAGCTCACCTACTACCCACAGGCCTCAGGCTCCCCATCGAGAAACAGAAATCACAATTGAAGCAGCTGGTTTCCAAGGCACCAAATTAAAACAAATGAAGAAATGTTTTTCTTCAAAAAATAAAAATATCAAGCTACGACTTCCTCGCTCCCAAGTGCGTCGTGCCTTCTATTACATCGCACACTCGAAATTGACTCTCAACCTATTTAGGCCATGGCTGCCGGGCAAAAGGAAGTTCGCAAATTACTCAGACCCCCAGAGCCACACTCCTGCAACCATGCCAGCAACGGAGAAGAGCCCCGTTTAATGGAACTTTGCTACCAGCACCCCGGCTGCCCAAGCCACGCCAACACCGCACCTGCCGAGAGCACGGAGCCCAGTGCAGGCATCCGCGTGCCCACGGGAACCCGGACTGCTGGCCCTGCTGAAGGGGCTGGAGTGTGGCCGCTGGCCGCAGTGGACCGTCCCCACCCAAGGTCAGCTGTCTGGACAGCACTGGCGCGGACAGGTCCGCATGCACAGATGCCCCCGCTCTGCAGTCCTGTACCAGGAACACCAGTCATGGTCTCCATCTCACCCCCCGCACCCAGGACCTGGTCTGTGCGGCCTCACGGTCGACAACGAGGGTTCCTTAACTAGAAACAAAGAACCAGTTGTCCGCAGAGGTGCTTACTGGATCTCAGCAGCATGGCCAGGACTTCCGTGGCTGCCCTGGGGAGAGAGAAGAGGAAAAGTCAGTGCACAGGGGGCGCCTGTCAGCCCCACGTACCCGGTCTGTGTGTTCCTGGTACCCCCTTGTAGCCCCTTACTAACCAGAGAGCAGGCCTCCCACTGACCGTGAGCTGACCAGTGAGCGAGGCACAGACGCAGAAACCACATCAAACAGGCGTCCACTCAGCCCTCAGAGGGAGCCCCCTCTGCCCCTGCTGCCCGCACCGGCCGGAGCTCTGCTGTGTGCCTCGAGGTGTGGGGGCCCCAGGGCGGGTGGGGAGGGGCCGGGAGTGTAGTGGGTGCTGCCGTGGCCGTGGGAACATCGCGAGGGAGGCTGTGTCCCTCGGCTGGGAGACGGTCATGTCAGCTTTTTGCCTCCAAGTGCCCATCTGGGACCCTCTCTGCCGCTCTGCAGCCTCCCCAGCTGCTGTCCCGAGAATCTTCCCTCGCCAGCCCTGCCCTGGCCTCCGCCTGGCCCGTGAGAAACCGCACTCTCTGAAATACAGGATCTGATGTGGGGCGGGAGAGCCCGCCACGAAGAGGAAACAGTGGAGAGGATGAAGATGAACTGAAAACAGAAACGCAGGCCCGAGACTCCACTGCTTCCTGGGGCCTACGAAGGCGTCTCCCAGCTGCCAAGGCCTGGCCCTGCAGCCCCAGGCCGTCCTGGAGCCCAGGAGAGGCCAGCCCCCCACCCCCGCCCACGCCCGCCCACGCCCAAGTCCCCGCCTGCTCCTCTACCTGACCTCCGGCTGCCCCAGCGCCACCCTGGCTAACCCAGGGAGATCGGCCGGGGCAGTGGTCGGGAGGAGCAGCACTGGGTGCTGGGGGAAGCCCGGGTGTCCAGGACACCCAGGGCTGTGGCCACCGGGACTGGCCTCGGCTGGGCAAGAGAGAAATGGCTGTTTGGGGTAACGCAGGCAGCTGAAGTAACTTCCTGCGCGGGGTGGGCGGGGGAGAGTGGGGCCGGCCCAGGCAGGCCAGGTCTGCAAGGGCTCTGATGGGGGAGGGGCACTTTGGTTCCGGGAGCACACAGAGGAGGAAACCACCTTCAGTGTTTCAGGAGGCCAGGCCGCAGGCGGTCAGGCGGGAGCTGGGTGGAGGGAGCAGGGGCTGACCCCTGAGACTGGGTCCCGAGCAGTCGCTCCCATTTCCCGGGAGCAGGTGCAGGCCCTCAGCCCCCAGAGTGACCACTCTCAGGCTACCCGTGCACAGACCAGGGCTGGGCACCCCTGGCAGAGGGGACAGCACAGGGGCTGCCTGACCCTCGGCCTGAGCTCAAGGGGACGCTCAGATCTGACCGGAAAGCACCAAACAGCACGGAAACAAACAAATCCGACTCCAACACCGTGTGGCGGGAAACAGCCGGGCAGTGCCGCGTGACTCGGAGCCGTGCGGCTGACTCCCGGGGAGCCGGGCACGGCGGAGGGGGCCACAGGGAGTGCAGCAGCGGGCCCCACAGGTGAGGACGGCGCAGGCGAGGACGGCGCAGGCGAGGGCGGCGCAAGGCTTCAAGCCAAAGCCTGCTATTCCAAGAGCTCGAATTCAGCTCCAGTCGCCAGGGTGATGCGACCGCGAGGACAGGGCAGGGGGAGGCCAGGACTCGGCAGGGCCTGCAGAACGGTGAGCTCGGAGGGCAACGGAAGGGCGGCTCTGGGGATGCCTGGGGACCCCCGGGCTGGGTACACGGAGGACAGGAAGCCACCATCAGCCCGAGGAGGGGCGCGGCGTCTTTGGAGAGAACACTCGTTTTGCTTCCAGATAGGCTGTGTCCAAGACGACGGGGAGACAGCGACGCAGGCTGAGCGCACGGTAGGGTGTGCGTTACAGACTCACAAAGCCAGGGAGGTTGTAGCCACGCGAGCAGGTGGTGTGGGTGAGGAAACACAACCAGACGGCACAGAGGACCGGCTGGGAGCAAGGGAGCCCCCACAGGAGGCAGGGGAGCAGGGGGTGCCTGGGGTGCTCGATTTCAAAGTAAAAGTCCCTGGACTGCCCAGGCACCGAGTTTCGCAAACTGCAAATGGCAGTTATAAAATTAATTTTGAACTCTGCCTCTCAGATAAATAAATAAATCTTTAAAAACTAAAATCAATTGTGTAAGCATTGACTACACTTTTAAATAAAAGAGGAGAAATCAGAACGGAATCCAGGAGAGCAGGATCATTGATGTAGCAGAGCCGAGCGGTGACCGGAGAAGCCCTGGCCTTGTGGCCTTGGGTGCCAGGTTTGTTTGATCTCTTGGGACCTCGTAGGCCCCTTGTCCGTAACATCTATAACTGATGGGCTGGTGCAAAGGGTGAGACAAACAGAAATTAAATTAAGAGCCTCCCACATTCCCAGAGGAACACCAACTTGAATGGCGGCACAAGTTATGGACGGTGGAACAAGTGCGGGGGGGTGCAGGCTCATTCCTGCCCCTGTGCCCGTGGCCAGGAGAGACCCCTGGAGAAAAACAGGTTCCTATCCCAGGGAGCCTGAAGAAACAGTGACCAAGCTATCTCTGGAAGTCACGTGGGCAGTGAGCCACCTGCACCAACATGAGCTATGTGTCACCAGGCCACACTGCCACACGCGTGGCTGCTTGCACGGCCCTCACTCCGCCTGTCTGTGCAGTGGGAACCCCGCAGCTCAGGTCGGCCACGGCTCAGGCTCTCGCAAGGCTGTGTGCAGGCGTCAGCCGGGCTCAGTCTTCACGCGCAGCTTCGCAGCCCGAGGGGGTCCTTGGCAGGGTGGACTTCCTTGTGGTCACCCCGCCCCACCCCTAGAGGCGGATGTTACCCGGAGGCTTGGACGCCAGGAGACGGGGATCCTGGGCTCCACCTCAGAGCCGCCCCACCGCCCAAAGCCGCCTGAAACAGTGACGGGTACCGGGACCCTCACATCCTCCTGGCCAGGAACCGACCCTCCTCGCTCTCCCCCTTGCCAGAGCGAAACCGCGCCTTCCCCAGCCCCAGGCGTGTGTCCTTCCTGGTCCTGACCAGCTGGGCGTCAGCACACGCTCCAGTGACCCCTGGTGAACTCCTCCCGAGCTCCTCTGGACCGTCCACAGTCCACGTGCGGAAGGCGCCGGCTGCTCACGGAGAAATGTGATTTCTGGAGCCCTTGTTCCAAATTTACATTTTAATTTTTATATAATAAGTGTATATTAGCTACATGAGAATTTTAGGTATGTTGAAAAATACAGTGACAGAAAGCAAATAGAATAAATTAAAACCAGCCAACCGTCTCTCAGCTAGCCTCTGCCGGAGCCTCCTAACTAATCCACCCACCTGCGGCCGTCATGGTCACGGGCAAGGCCGTCTTCTGGCCCCAGGGACACCCTCGCGGTGCTGCCCAGCCCTTCTCACTTGGGAGGAAAGTCCAAAGCTGAGGCCTGGACTGGGAGGCCGCACCAAGCAAGCAGCTGCCACCTGCCGCTCGTGTCTGTGCCCCACCCCCGTCTGTCACATCACTGGTCCTTGTCCTCTGTCCCTGAGGGAGGGACAACCCCAACTGTCGGGGCCTCCCCCCTTTCCCTGCAGCTCACACCCCCCTCCCATCCTGATCCTGGCCCTGGACGGTCAGCCATCCTGTCCCCCTCCTGGCCGCCCCGCTCACCTAGTGTGTGGGGTCATTTTGTCCGTGGATGCCTTCTTCAGGCCGTAAGGTCTAGAATCTAGGAGACACATTTTGTTTGGTGCTATCCCGCCCTCACCACACAGCAGTATTTGAACATAGAGCACCGTCAAATATTTACTGAGCCTTCTCCAAAGCTGGGTGCTGGTCGAAGAGCTTTGCATGTGCCGTCCGCTCACTCTACAAATGCGTGTTGAGCACGGGGTACGTGGCAGGATAAGATCAGATCCTTGGGCTCAAACAGCTCCTATTCTCAGGGCGCAGAGACAAGAGTAGTTGCAAGAAGTACAGATGACTGTGACAGATGTGACAGATGGGTGGACAGAAGGAAAAGCAAGCCAGGCTGATGAGATCAGAGGCACAGAGACCAGTGGCTGCGGAGCCTCCTCGTCACAGCCACGGCCAGACCAAGGTTGGAAGCGGGAGGTTGCCACACCAGCGCCAGGAGGAAGCGTGTGCTGCTCTGGGGGCACAGCCTGGGGACACTCCCGGGTGACAGTGGGCCTGGTCTGACCAGGGACAGAGTGGGGCAGCGCCGAGGGGCAGCGCTCCACAGGGCCTGGGAGCAGAGGCAGGCCTGCACGCCAGCAAGCACAGGACTCTCTCCAGGGTTCTGAGCAATGGTCCAAGCTGTTTCAGGACTTCTCCCGCTCTCCACTTAGAAATAAATAACGGAGACCACTGCTCCCGGGAAGACAGGAGGAGCAGCCCGAGCCAGTGGAGCAAGCAGACGACAGCAACACACAAGAGGGAGCCACCGTGACCAGCCCGGGGGTGCGCCAGGAATGCAGGGCTGGTCTCCCTCCTGGAAGTCAACAGCACGGCCTCCACGCCAATAGAACAAAGCGCTGGAAACCACAGACCTCTGAGAAAACCCATCGCCCTTGCGTGAAGATGCCACTCAATAAACGGGAGCCAAAGGGGACTTTGCCGAGCTGATAAGGAAGCCACCAAAACCCAAAGCTAAGGCCATACTTGGAGACGAAGGACTGGATGCTTGTCCCCTAAGTCAGGAACAAGAGAGGACTGTCTGCTCTACCCGTCTGACATCGTACTGCAGGCTCCAGCCGGGGCATTTAGGCAAAAATAAATAATAGACCGATAGATGGTTGACAGAGCATACATGAGAGACAATGTACATACAAATTTAGGGGAAGTACAATTATATTTGCAGATGATATAATCTGCGATACAGAAAAGTTTCAAAATCCACTAAAAATGGCGCTGGTAGCTGGCCTCGCAGTGACTGTGCCAGAGGAGAGGCCCACACCCACACCAGAGAGCCTGAATTCAAGCCCCAGCCGCAGCTCCTGGCCTCAGTTTTCTGATCAAGTGGACTCTGGAAGGCGGTGCTGATGGCCCGCGTAACTGTGCACCTGCCA